AGTTACAGGGAACGGAAAAATAAACTTTGTTGGTAGATTAATTGGATTCTGCACTTGGTACATCCGCATAACTTAATAATTCATATCCAGCAAAGGATGCTCCAAAACTGAAACACATTTAGCTGAGTGATAACAGCCATGTTTTTCCCCCCACCCCTTTGGTTTGGAAAGGGTGCGCTTCTTCAATATGACAATTCTGTTAAATTGTCTCAGTGGGATCTACTTCATGTATATATGAAGTGAATCCCAGCTCAAAAGAGCAGCAGGTTGGTATGTCGATGAGTAGTCACAAAATCAAACGAAGTGAGTGGCAGTCTATCCAAGCTGCTTGGCCAACTATTGAATAAGATGAGGATGCAAGATTTATTCAGCACTATGGAACTGCTTTGTTTTTTCCTGGATTCTCCATTAGCCTGCCAATCCATTAATTTATGTAGGCAACATTCATTAATAGACTTCTTCACATATGAAGGAAAAATACCTTAGAAGCATGAATAAACAGCAAAGCAGAGTACACAAAAATCAGAATTCTCAAGGAAAATCCTTCTTCCTTTATTTCTGTGGATAGCACTGGACACTTTGTCAGCCTTGCTTGCCATTTCATCAGCTAAAGATTAAAATGAGAGCAAGTTTACTCTCACTTGGGCAGGAGAGGCCTGACTATTTTGTCTTATACTTCAGCACCTAAATCATTAGTATTATGATTCCTGTTTCATGATGATATTAATTTGCTGTTTCCCCAACATGCTTTAATCTCATATTAAAGAAATTTAATGCTATTTTATATATATATATATAAAGGAAGCATTTGATGGAATCCCAGTTGGTTCAGAAAATACCTAAACTCTACCGTTCTACTGATGCTGAAGTTTATTAGAAAAAGGGATTAATTATCCCTACAGAATACCAGCTCTTGCATTAAAATGCACAGATCATCATACAAAATTGTGTGTGCCCCAACTGCTAATTTCAGTGAAACAGATATATTAATTTTATTTTTAGAATGAAATAATTTGTTCAATGATACAACCAGAACATCTAGCCTCTCTACAACTAGATTCTTTGCAAGGATAATATTGGAGTATTACAGCTGCTGAGGATTATTGAGAGAGTCAAAATGTACTTTTCACTAGTGATAATTAATCTTGTATCAAAGTGTTTGTTTTCGCTGTCATTTCTATGCATTAGCACGAGGTTCATGTGAAAATCGTACATTAAATTACATATTGTATAAATCTTTCCATTAGATACCAGTCCCCTTGTCCTTACTTTTTGAAACTAATCTTTGATCTTCCAGTCAGTAACAAAAATAATTACCATTTCTGTCCAACCTGGCTTGATCTATGTAATTCAGAAATAGCTGCACAGCTGGAGACAGATGTTCATGTCTCCATTGCTAAACTCTAGAGAGACTTGTACTATTATTTATATCACCCTTGTTGTGAGTTTATCAGCTTCCATATGTTGCTCTGCAAATGCATGATACATTCTGTGAATTTCAAGAAATAATGACTTTGCGGAAGCAGAGAGAGAGATAAAACAAGAAAAGGAAAAAGTTAAAACTTTCCTGACATTTCATTCTGCTTCATAGGGTAGAGTTTATAGATGAAATAGTACATTCAGGTGTTCTTTCATCTATGAAAAATATTTTACTAACTAGTACTTGCCTAATTTAGCAATTTATCCAAGAAACCTAAGAATTAAAAAATAGGAAATCTTTTTATTTCTTATATACTAAGAAATGTAGTCTAAGAGCTGAGGAGAATACTAAAAGAAGTCCAGGATTTTGGGGACAGGAAATTCTGAACAAGATTTTTCCTCCACTTAAGATCCTGGAAAAATACCCCATTTTCTAAGTCCAATGTCACAATAATTATGGGTGGGACCAAAACTGTACAACTATATAGCCTCCTCTCCCCTCCCCTTCCATTGTATCCAATACTTTTCTAATGGTCTCTCATTCCCCCAAATAAGTTGGCAGTCTAAACAACTCAAATCAATTGGGAGTTACCCCCTAAAAACAATTAGCTTTGAAATAGTGCTACATGCTTTCCCTTAATTTGCTACATGCTTAGTTAGCTCTTTGGGGAGTATATTAAGTAGCTCCAGTGGTTAATGAGGAATTGGAAAGTTTAAACTGATTAAAACTGGACTCAGTGCATTGATCTTAGGCAACAGAGTTTTTTTACGATGTATTTTTTTCCTCAGAATGGAAAGATCCATGAAGCATGTTATATCAGTTACTGTAAGAAGCATACCTAGACCCATGCAGCTTGCAACTGGACTCTCCACAATGGAACATGTAAAAATATCTGTGTCAATGTTCTCTCCTTTGCAATAGAACAATTGTCAATATTTTTTTATGTTTAAATCTAAATTTCAGTGCATGTAGGTATATAGCATATCTGTATTTTTTCTGAGCAAGTTTTCTTCAATGCAATGCTCCTTTTATGACAGGAAGCAAATCTTAGGCTACAACTCTGTATTTTTAATAAAGGGTTGTTTCAAGTGAACACAATATTTCTAATCAAGATAATGTAATCCTTGAGAAAAGGCATAGCAAACCAGCTAGTATTTCAGGTTTATTAGGTTATAAAATATAGACTTATATTTCAACAGAACATAATATAATCTTCCATTTCATGTACTTAAAATGGTACACCTTTATTCCAAAATATATTATTTAATGTACCCAAAATACACTTCAACCTTTATTTAACATAAATTCAGCTCCAAATACCATAACCTCCTATTTAAGTCCTAAACAAATTCATTTTCTTTCTAAACATTTCCCAAAATTAATTTTAAATATTTCCTAAAGCATGTAATGGAATGTGTGAATGACACTGGAAAAGGGGGAAGAGACGCTGCCTAGGAATGAGATAAGAGAGGCAGGAGTCTCCAGTGGCTTAATGGTCAGAGAAAGAAACTTAGTAAGGATCCGCCTAATGGATCAAGCAGTTAAAAGGGGCAGTGGCAAGTTTATACCTTCAGACTTGCAAGATTCTGTTAATGTAGTTTTACAATAGATTGAATTGATTAATTAGAGTAGGATCTAGTCCTGTTTCTTGTCTAATTTACTTGGGAGAGCTGACAAAACAGCAATTTAGAAGAGATACCTGTAGGAATTTATTTATTTATCAAATGTATAAGCCACTCATCTTGGGGTTTGAGAAGACGTTAACCGGCTATATGTACTACAGAAATATAAGTACTACAGTTTAAAGCTGTGATAAATTAGGATAAAGATGTCCACACATCAAGTTGCGTTCTTGGCAACTTCATGGACAAATTAAAATCAAAGGCAATGGATGCCTTATATCTCTCTAAAGCACAAAGTATAGTATTTCAACAGATTTAATGTAACAAAATTAAAAATATATATCATTGTTTCAGAAGTTGTTAAAAAAAGAGATAAATTCATTTCTCCAAAATGTCATAACACCTGAGCACATTATTCTGTATTTCCCCTATTCCATACCATTGGAATCTTATTAAATGTGATAACAGCAGAGCACATTATTTTATGCTTTCCTTATACCATACCGTAAGATTAAATATTGCTTAAAGGAGAGAAATACAGTGCACGTCCAAGCAACAATGTCGTCTGTTTTCAACCAAGCTCAGCTCTATCCAGCAGCAGATCCCATGGAACTCTATGGAACTTACTTCTGAGAAGTTATGGATAGAGTAGTAATGTTCATGGAATAGGTTAATGGAACTTTTGCTTAAATTCCATAATGCCCAGTGGAAATTCCCATCTCATGATCTCTTGCTTAGAGAGGAGGCTGTTTCATATGCCGGTTTCAGTCTAGGAAGGTTAACACGTTTTGCAGCAGTGTTAGAGATGATGGACCAATCACACCTATCTGAGGTAAGAAGGTTGTACTCTATTTCCTCCCCCCTTCCATTGCACAAAGTCAGAACTAAATTTTGGGCATGGGCAACTGGCAGAAGGCCCAAAGTTTCATGCCTCCAGGAAGAGCTGCAACCCACAAGCGAAGGGAAGGAGATTATGGTTCCTAGGGTTACACTATTATTCTAGAGAAAATAGCCCCAACAATTGTGCGCAATCTTTCAGCCCACTGCATTTAGCTACCATTTGTTTATTTAAACACAGTTCAACTTACTTTACCTAATGGGGCAGAACTTCTAAAAGGAAAATTGTGTTTAGCTAAGCATTTTAAAAAAATGTTCTCAGTGCTTTCTCTAAATAAATAGCTCGCCAAAGTTTTCATTGGCACAATGTAGCCAAATGTATTCAATTTCCTTTAACAATATAAAATAGTCACAGGAGTTCTGGATTTTTTTTACCTTGAGAGGAAGGAGAGGAGGGAGGGAGAGTGGAGAGAGAGTATACAAAAGCTTTATTTTATAAAATGAAATAAATCTCAGTACGGGTACCAAAAATTTGTCTTCAATGTTCTACTACTTACTAAGATAAACCTATATAATAAAGTATTTGAAATGACATTCATATAAAAGAAATGATATACCTTTAAATAAATAAAAGCTACTATGTACATTGTACTGTACATGAGAAGAGAGGTGACATCAGTGGGATTAAGTTACCTAATATCTTTATTTTCTCCATTAAAAAAAAGAAAAAGAAAACTCTTGGCCCTATTCTACATTCTAGATCTAAAATCTAAATTTCTTGTATCTTTTTTTTTTGTCTTTTAATTTTCTTATCACCCTAAAAAAAAAAAAACCCTTTGCAGAGGTTTCTCTTAATTTTTTTTATGGTTTTCTTGATGTTTGTGATAGCCACATTTCCTTCTCCAAATGCTTGCGAATGAAGCTGTACCTAGAGGATGGGGGGGAGTGGCAACCACTCGGTTGCAGCCCAGTTGTGGTGTGATGGCCACCATATAGGAAGAACTTTAGCTCCAGGATTCTGTTGGAATGAAGAATGATCCTCTTCTTGGAGAAATATTGTGAAAGGGTCACTCCAATTCCTCTACCCCCCAAAAAAAGAAACATAAAAAAATAACTTCCTCTTTGCGGGGCTCTGTTTTTTGCAATTGAATCCTAGTGGCAACCACATGATCGTACCACCATGTTCCTATACTTTTTCAAAATAACATTGGAACTGTCGTCAAAATAGAGGACAGAGATGGCATTCAGTTTGGTTGGAGCACAACAAGGCTTTGGGACGTGATCAGGAAACATCAAGTGGACCTGAAAGTCAAAGACAAGAAGATACAATGTGATTTTACTCATTCAATAATCTGTTGTAATGAATCCTATAATCAGCAATAACACACAGTATTTATTTATTTTTGGCTAGGAGAGTCATAGTCATATTGCTAAAATGCTTCTGATTTTAATACTTTGCAGTGAAAAATAGATCATGCTTCTAATAAGAATATCAACAAACACCAGTTTGTCCTGTGGCTACTTAAAGGTTTAGAGCAGGAGTATCCAATCGTGGCAACTTTAAGACTCGTGGACATCAACTCCCAGAATTCCCCTGCCAGCCATTTACACACACACACACACACACACACACACACACACACACAGTTAAACATAATACAGAGATAGAGGCTTGAGTGTATAATGTGTATGTCTGTATGTTGTATGTAGGGAGAGAAAGAGAGAAAGACTGTATGCTGTAATAGTTAAGGAACTGGATGAGTAGTGGGAAGACCAGGTTGTGGACTTTCCTTAGGCATGGAAGATGGCTTTGAACAAATCTCTCTTTCATAGTTCTAGACTGGAAAGTGAAAAAAAAAATCTACCAATCTCACTGGACCAGTCCATCACGTTCCATGAATGGTGTTTTATCATGTAATGGATTGATTTAAAGGAGGAGGAGGAGAAATAATTTACTTATTTCATTTATTTATATTTCATATTTCTAAACTGCCCATTTCCCTCAGAAAAATAATGCATTTTTCATATTTAAACAGGAAATCCATCCAAAGACTGTGCTGGATGAAAAAAATGGAGTCAGGGGTAGCTTGGCCCTGAAAAATTATAGGAACCCCCTCCCCCCGCCAAAAAAGTGGAAAGTATAAAAATACAATTGTAAAGCTTCCCAAAGCATCACTGCTGACAGCTGGCCTTTCAGAAATACAGTACTATTCTTGGTTTGTACTTGAAATGAAATGTTAGTACAGTATGCAATACTTCCAAATATTACTTCTTTTTCTTTAAAGCCCCTGAGGAAGGAAAAGACATTTTAAAAATAGGGCCAAATAGATATTTAAAATGTTCTTCTCTGTATGTATAGGATGCTGTATTTCTTGAAAATGAAGTTCCACTGAATCTCTTTGACTGACTGATTGACTAACTGATTGACTGACTGATTGATAAGTAAATATTTGCATTTATTATTTATAAAATATTTCTAAAAATTATACATTCATTTATTATTTATAAAAACAGATGGAAACATACCAGCGTCTGTACTATGGCATGATTTGTGGCGTTCATGTGAGCATTGAGAGGAAATGAACATTCTCCATCACAATAAAATGCAGCATAACCCTCTGGAGCTATAATCCAATCCTAAAAAATAAAAATAAAATGTTTAAATGCAAATTTTCCCTCTCAGTGATCCCTCAGTTTTGGTAAAAAACAAACAAACAAACACACACCTGAAAAATGCCTGAAAGTTGACATTCCACATACTTTCAGACATGGGCTATAATTTTCAGCACTGTCTCCTCAAGATGTGCTACTCTGCAAGACCTGACATATGTAAACGTCATATGTTTACATAAATATGTCATATGTAAATATGTAAACTCTCTCAGGCTGTCCATGTGGTTTTCTTAGCAATAAGCAGAAAGTGACTTTTCATGGCCTTCATCTGAAGTATTTAGTCAACATCCCAGCCTAGCTTAAAGCCTTCATAATTTCAGATGGCTTTCCATCCAAGAACTAACCAGATTTGAACCCATTTTGCTTTTTCAAGATCAGCCTAGGCCAGTTAGCACTTCCACCTGTTTCAATGTTAACATACATATTCAGCAACAGTAGTTGACCTCATATGTTAAATTTCTGTATGTTACGATATGTTTTTGCCGGAGTTTGTTTCTAAACTTCAATTGTTTGGCTTAAAGATAATTCAAACCATAAACCTGAGTATGTAAACCAGGCTGGACTCACCCATCGCTATAAGCCAAACTAGCATAATAAATCTTAGTTTTGCGGCCTTCCATGGGGGGCACAGAGGACCATACAACTGTGGGGCTGGTTAGTCCCATGACAGCCCTCCCATCTTGTAATAACCAATGTTAAATGGCCCTTTTAGGATTTTTATCCATTCGAGGTTTAATTGTCATTAATCTATTATTATTATTATTTTTTAATCCTAATTTAATTTTAATGTTAATGTTTACATGTTGTTTTATTTATGAATTATATTGCATTGTAAATTGAAGGCAAAAGGAGAAGAAGAAGGCAGAGGATGAAATGGTTAGATAATGAACATGAATTTGGGAAAAATCCAGGAGACAGTGGACCAGGGAGGCCTGGTGTGCTGTGATCCATGGGGTCGCGAAGAGTCAGATATGACTTAGTGACTGAACAACAACAATAACACTGCCCAGTGCTCATCTTTGAGGGAGACAGGGGCGGGGGGGTTAAAAAATATGAAATGTAAGTAAATAAATGTGATGAAAATCATTAGCCTATGAAAGCCGGGTACTGCTGAACTGCTATGGAGCACAGAGTAAGGTACAATGTTTAAGAGAAAAGAAGTGGCCGAGGAGGGTAGTTTCAGTTTTCCTTTCTCTGTTTGCTGCTTTTCCTCTGCAGACTCAGCACCCAAAGAGCAGAGTCTCCTGTCCTCTTTTAACATGGTAATGTCTAAACCAGGGGTGTCAAACTCAATTTCACTGAGGGCTGCATCAGCACTGCGGTTGCCCTTGGGAGGCCGGGTGGGTGTGGCCAGAGTGGGTGCAGCCTACTGGGTGGGCATGGATGGAGTGGGTGCAGCCTACTGGGTGGGCGTGCCCAGTTCTACATCATTTGCGTCAAGGGTGCCTATGGGGGCCTGGGCAGGAGTGGGACAGATCTGAGGGTCTCTGGCAGAAGGGGGTGGGACTGGGGCAAATGCCAAGGCATGGTCCACTGGAGGAGCCTCTTTGCCTGCTGAAACCCCTCCCCTGGAGCCCATCAAGCTAGATAGGTGAAGTAGGTGAGGACCATTTTCTGGCCACTTCCAGGTGATGGTGCATTTCTTCATTCTTCACAAAGGGTGACACCTCCCCAGCATGCATCCAGGGGGCGGGACCAACACGGCAGGGGCCGGTTCCTCGCTGTTTCCAGACGGCCTTGTGGAACTAAAACTGAATGCGTTTCAGCCTAGATGGCCACCACAAAATTATACATTGGCTCCCTCTCGGCCGGCCTGGGCCAGGGCCAAGGGAGCGGGGGCCGTTCCCTCACTTTTTCCAGGATGGCTTCGCGGGCCACATGAAACCAGTTCGCAGGCCACATCCGGTTCCCGGGCCTTGTGTTTGACATGTCTGGTCTAAACTGTAGGACAATCCCCAGACTTTACCCTTTCGAAGTGAGAGCTGAATTTGTCAGGAGAACCATAACATGTAGTGAGAATTGCGTGTGTATGTATGGGAGGTAAAAAGATGGGAAGGAAGTACGAACCAGATGTAATTAGGTTTTCTTTTCCTTTTCTTCCTCCTTATCTTCTTAACTTTTCCTGCTCTTTGCATAACCTTGCCTAACCTAAGGGTAGATTTGTAGATGAGGAGAAGGAAAAGGAGGAGAACGGAAAATGGAATATCATCTCTACCTGCCACCCAAGGTCTCGAAAGCTCACATAGAGTTCGTGTTTTCTGCAGGCTTGCTTCTGTTCACTTGTGTTATAATCTGCAAGGGGGGAAAAGCACATTGCACAATTGCTTATTGTAAGCATTCATTAAGCATATGTTATTTGTTCAGGTTTTAATCATTCACTCTTTCTTTCAAGAGATATTACTGTTCTATATAAAACATGCGTTGTGCCATTCTGCTCAAGGCTGGAATTGATTCGTAAGAGTTTTGTCCTGTCTTGTTTCTTTTGAATAACTGATGGATTGGATCTATGATCTACGTCACACCAATCCTACCCATTCCTTTCCTGGCCCTTTCACAGGAATTATAGCTGGGGCAGATGATATAAACATTCTAGCAATGATTCTCAATTTCGGCTTCTTTGCGATGTGTGGATTTAACTTTGCTGGCTGAGGAATTCTGGGAATTGAAGTCTGCACATCTTCTATAGAATGTAAAATGGTGCACATTTTCCTCATTTAATGGATGACCGTTTTTCAATAATTTCATGGCCTGACTTGATTTCCACCTTACTTTTAAATCAGATGAATTTAGACAAAGAAGACAGAATGGAATTCTTCCTCTGTCTCTGCATTATTTCCAAGGAAGATGAGTGTTCATAGATGTGATATACATTAAATATAAAATTGCTTTCTACACACTATCTATTGTATCCATTGAGTGCCACTTTTTGTGGCTTTCTGTTCCTTTTTTGTCTTCTCAAATGTTCAGATTATTCCTACCTCCCCTGTATAGAAGATAGATTCAGAGAAAACATGCAGCTCTGCAGCTACCGGTTGCTTTTTGGAAAAACTGAATAATATTCATAGCAGTGGAATAATATCGTTCTACACACACTGCTCACCCAGAAGCTCTTCAAAACCCCATCTCCCCACGAGTCCTTTGGGCATCCCCCCCAAAAAATAAAAGTATCCAGAAATGGCCCAAAGTATCACTTTCCATTTTCCCACAGTCCTAAAAAGACTAAACACAATTTGGAAAGAGATGGCTGTTGTCTAGCTGTGAGAAAAAAAATGCACAAGATTCCAGCATACATAATATAGAGCTAGCATCCCATCTCAAGAAAAATGAAATGCATTTAGACTGCAGGGTTATTCTGAATGTAAAATTATTAAACTGAAATCCATACTCCTTCTTGCCTTTCTGCTTTTCAGATGAGGGAAGTGTGGGACATTATATTACATTTCATGTAAATGGCTAGGGTGACATTTACTCTATAGAATCTGGGGTGAAAGTTCCAATTTCACTGATTTTGCCTTCAGTGCTCCATTTGCTTATTCTGCTAGGAATCAAAACCATGGGATATTATGGATGAATAAAGTTTGCCTCCAAATAATTTAGGAACAGGAGTTGGCAACTGCCCTCCAGCCCTTTACATAAATCTTTATGGAGCAGAAAGAGGGGGAAAGTCTCTTTGAGGGGAAGAGAAAGAAATCAAAGTTGAAACTTGTCAAAATACCCATAGGCAAGCAAAGCGTGTTTGAGATCGATCAGCAGAAAAGAGGGTTAATAAAAAAAAAAGACTTGAGTGTAAATATAGTATCACAGAATACATAGAGATTTAATAATGATTATACTGCTGGGCTCCCATCATAAACACACACTGGGAGGAAATCACATTAAATTTTACCATTTCAACACAGATGTGATTTTTGCTCCATTTGTTAAGGAAGAAATGTAGGGTCGGGTGTGGTTATTTAATGAAAATGGCCGCAATTCTGGTAACAATGCAACTTGGAAAGAAGCATGGCATTGTCACCTGTTGTCCTTTGTAGGGTATTACAAGAGAAGAGAAATAGGCCAGTAGCCACAAGAGAATATCTAATATAATGAAATTCTACTGATTTGTTTAAATCTGATTTTTTTGGGGGGGAGGTATTTAAACAGTACAGTCTGCTTGTGAGCAATATGTCCCCTCCTCTGTCTGAAGGCATGGCTATGATTTGCACAAGATTCAGAATTCACCTGGAAGATGTTTTTATGACAACGGCAGCTGAAGATTGTGTACTACATGATGGAATGTGTGATTAGAATGTATTTGTCAGATTTTCCTAATAGACTTATTGTAGTGTATATTCTATTACAGCACTAGTAACATTGTTGGTATGCAAGCTGTGGTAAGGATGTTTGTGTCTCCATATATATAATAGAAATGAGTATGTTTTTTTTACATGTGAGAGGGCCGGACAATATGTTCACATTGATCCTACTGGCATGGAGCCACCAATTAGGTGGTGCCATCACTGTAGGTAGTGTTTGTAAACAAGCAGCTTGCCCTTTCTTATTTTTTTGTGAACTAATTTTTTTTTTAACTTTATTTACAAATATGTTAGCAGAAGAATGACTCTCATATAAACTTCTTATATATGCCAGTATCATTAACTAAACAGGATATTTGAATTCTTGTGTAAGTTCTCTTCTTTGAAAATAAACACCAGACACAGAGTTTCTCCTCTGCATAGACCTAATGTAATATAGTATTCATTGGACTGGAGATATCCATGCTCAAACATGCAGCTTACTGAGTGACCTTGAACCAGGCACTCTGTTTCATCCCAAAGCACCTCACAATGTTGTTTATTGCAAATATAAAATTAGGACAATCTTCTATGTTTGCCACTTGAGGAAAGGTAGAATATAAATACAAAGAATGAGGAATAGGATCACATGACCGTGAAACATTGTTACCTACTGTATAAAATAATTCATTTTTCCATCTCTTCAACATAAATCAGTGGGATTTAAATATCCAACTTTTACTGGCTTGTGCCTAGAATTTTTCCAGAAACAATCTGAAGACCCTAAAGTATTCAAGCCATTTGAGAAATAAATGTAAGATATGCTGCTACAACATGCCTATGCATTTTACTTAAATCATGTGCCTTAAGGCGTCGCATGAAGATGCAACCTAGGTACATTCTTTCAAAATAACTTCTGCAATGAAAGCCTCACCAGAAAGGTGAGTTAGGATGGAGCTGTATTATATATTTCAGGTTACAGTTAAATGGTACCGTGTGTGTTGACATGCCCTGCTGCAGATAAATGAAATCCTATTTCCCAGAAATAGGATTCTGCCCCAGCAGGAGTATTCTGCTGGGGCAGAATACTCCTGATATTCTAAGCTTTCTTTTTGGAAAAATGACTTGTTTTTATGGAGGAGTATTTAATCACATCCGATGCCAGAAATTAAATTAAATTAAATTTTTTATGAATTTTTTTTTATGCCAGCCATCCTGTCTTTTAAACAGCCAACACATGCAAACAATATATACAGAAACAGCCAACACATGCAAACAATATATACAGAAATCAAAAAGGATGTGGGCAACTTTCGTTACATAATGCAATACTTAATTTTTTTTATCATATGTTCAATTCTACCGGATGAATTGGAATAACATAGGTGGAAATGTAACTTGGTTTCCAAAGAGAGGTTCAGTTGACTCTAGGCATCTGAACTATTAATTAAACTAATTCTAGAAATAGAACTTCTCTGAAGAAAATTACTCCGATTGCCTCTTAAATAGGACAGTGTTCCATAAAATAGGGTACCTCATCACTCTTACCTGCAACACTTGACATTCTTGAAGTATTTTGTGAGCTGCTGGACTTGCTGCGATTCTGGTTTTTTTTCTTATGGTTAGCAGCTCGGACAGATCGAAAAAGGACTTCGCTTGCTTTAAAGAAGGCAACCATGAATGGTTGCTTTGACTGAGGACCATGCCTGCCTATAAGACCAGCTGCTTTCACACTGATACTGCGACCTACAAAATAAAGAGATATAAAATTAGCTACCATTAAACAAAATCCACTTAGCTGATGGATAATATTCTAGATAAGGTGTGGGTCTATAGAATAGCATATTTTTTTGATATTAAAGTACCAGAAGTATATAATGTCTCTGCTATAGTTCCACATTATTATGAGGACAAAGACATTAGCCAAGCAAAAAGCTCAGATCATCCTGTTTTTAGAAACTGGGGAAAATACTTTGAGAATCCTGTATGTCCAAAACGACCCCAAGAGAAATGAGAAATGGAGGTAGTGTATATATTTACATTTCAAGACATAAATAATTCCCAGGCATTACTCATTTTTGTCAGGACTCTGAAGTTCAGGTACAGCTGAGGCCTCAGTCTTTCAAGGAATAATATATAATAGAGGGTGAAATATGACATGATTGACTCTGATTTTAATCCCAAGGGATGTGCATATTTCTTTATTATATTTGTTTAGTTGAGACTGAATAGCCACTTTGTTGGATTAGAGACTCCCCTTCTTTGCATGTGGGGGGGGGGCAGAGGGGTGGAAGTGTGGAGTATCAGAAGAAAAAGTTGAAAAGGGAAAGTCCGAATTAGACGATGAAGTTGCATCCATCTGAATGTTGAACAAACAACCCCCAGGCTTTTAACAAAATTTATTCTGGCATCTTGAAGAGTTGTTTGTCTCTCCATATTATGCATAACCTTCAGAAAGTGAGACAGTGCCATATGAAGCTATGCAGCTGTACAGGGAGAAGAATTACCATGGGCCAGACTTTAAGTAGTAGTGTGTTAGTAAAGAAATGCTGAACTGAGCTGTTCTAGGAGCAGCAATTTGCAGTAGAATTCTTCTGAACTATTATTGGATTGAAGAAAGGACAACTATGGATGAAAAAGCCTATGCCTTTTCAGCTATGTCATTCTCTCAAGCTTCTTCTTAATTGGGTATGTCTAGTTTAATGAAGAGAAGGACGAAGGGGACATGATAACAATATCTCAGAGGCTGCCACAAAGAAGAGGGGTTTAACTTACTCTCCAAAGCACCTGAAGGCAGGATAAGAAGCAATGGATGGAACATAATCAAGGAAAGAACCAGCCTAGAACTAAGGAGAATTTTTTTGACAGTGAGAACAATTAATCAGTGGAAGAACGTGCCTCCAGAAATTGTGGGTGCTCCAATACTGGAGGTTTTTAAGAAAAAATCAGACAACCATTTGTCTGAAATGATATAGAGTTTCCTGCTCGAGCAGGAGGTTGGACTAGATGTCCTCCAAGGTCCCTTCCAACTCCATTATTCCTCTATTCTGTTCTGTTATTTTGTTCTTGCTACAGAAAGAACTAATCATCCTAGGAGCAAGCTTTATTCAACTTAGCCCTATGCTTCCCTTTTTAAAGGCAGACTTATGGTGGCTCTTTGCCAGGGCTTGTATGTTTGAGAGAAATGTTTATCATGGGCATCAATGAAAGAGGCAGTTTGATTTGCGGTTAAAGCAGTTTCCATTCTACTTCCACTGTAACAAATGCATTAATTCAGTTCTTTCCTGGCAGTCTTTTTGCAGGGAGACAGAGAGAGATTAGAAGTCTCAGCCAAATACCATACCTTGAATTGACCCACTTCAGTATATAAACACTTTTACAGTGTGTTTATTCAGATGTAGCACTTTAAATTGGGTTAAGATGTACAGTATCTAATGACAGAGAACTGGAAAAGGATTTTTTTAAAATGAAAATTAAATTTAGGAGCAGAATAACTGAGCACATAATTCAGACAATTGTTAATTTGAGGGAACAAGGGAAATTCTGCAAATGATGGAAGATAAAGGTTGGTGTGCGGGACTGTGTGCTGGATGCTTAGACATTGAATAATTACATTAATTTTTGGCTACTTTTTGGTGCAGGTCCAGTTTTAAAAAGTCATAATTGGTACACTGGTCAACACACATTTCCATACAGAAAACCAGTGGAAAACTACACTGTGATTACTCAGTGGCATTCTTATTAGTAAAACAATTTTGAGTTCTAGGAATCCACAGATGAGGGGTTGCCTAACACTGCTATTAAAAAAATCAACATCTTCCTGGAAGAGTTCTTAGAAAATAGAGTAAATACATGAGAAATTTTAAGTACTCTAAATTTATTGAAGTATATATTGTGCGATAAGCAAAAATAAGGAATAAAAAGCCTTTAATGTAATGTAAACTCCCTTTAAAATAATAGTGGGTTAGCAATAGGATAACAACAAAGATACTACAAGTAATAGTTTACATAAATCCTTGAGATATGTAGAGATACTCTTAAAGAGCCACTCAACATAAAGCAATTTATATGGCTCTCTATCTTGTGTTTAGTTGTCTTTTGAAAAGCCAAGGTAGGCAGAGATGTTTTTTTTAAATTCCTCACTTTACAGTTATATCCAAGGCTTTTATTTTAATTTTGAATGTGCATTTCTATGAATGCGGGGAAAAATCCCAACAACTGTAGATACGATCTGAAGGTGAAAGATTTGTGTAATCTAATGAGAAATCAGAGTATAATTATAGATGGAGGGGACAACTTTACGGCCTGTGGATTTCAACTGAGCATACCTAACTCAGGAATTCTGGGAGTTGAAGTCTACAGGTCATAAAAGGGCCCACCCCTACTATGGATGAGAGTACATTCAGAATCGCACAATTTAGAATCAAAGCTTATAGCAAAACTAATCCAATTTAATCCAAAGTTATTTCAAAGATCTCAAATTTCATAATAGAAGCCTTTATTAATAGATTAAGGGCAGTTTCCAAAGAGCTGGGCAACTAGAACCATGTGCCCAAGGGACATCCCTTCTTGTGTTTCAAAGGATAGACTCTTGCACAGCAAATATCTTTTAGCCCAAGGTTTCTTTCAGAAGCATTTGTGATTAGGAAACCGTTATTCAGAAAGTTCAATTTCCTTCTGACCAAGAGCAAGTCCTTGGGCATAGCTAATGTAGGGATTCCAATCTCACTTTGCATAGTCCAGTCAATACACACCTTATTGTGAATTATTAGTCTACCCTTTTAAATGTATTCCTCAGTTGGAAGAGACTACTTATGGCTGAAAATCCAAGCTCCTGTTTAGTACAAGAATCCAAATTAAAGCACTGTTCACCGAAAGGTCCCCGATTTAGGACAGGAACACTTCAACCACCTGTATATATGGTTGGAATTCTCCATTACAAAGAATTAGCACAGCAAAAATGGTTGTATCTTGCACATTTGAGATGAAGTCCAGAAGAGCAAGAGCTACTGATACAATCTATGGCTTCCCATGACTGAAAAGCTCTTCAGATATTAAAAGCCAGAAACATGTAGATGAGTGGAAAGGAGGAGTGGGAAGATTTTGTGGGACTTTGCAATCAATGGAATAATTCTGGATTAAATACTTTAGTAGTTTTGCTGTAAAGTTTGTCAGTCCAAGTTGTATAATTCTGAATTTACTTTCATCTACAGTTGTTGGGATTTATTTTCACATACACAGACAAGCACATGCCTAAGTGAATATAGTAAAATATATTCCACCTAAAGTGGGTGGAAGGACAGATTGTATGGATTGGACGTTGTACCTCCTCATATCTCAAATTTCCATATGAAATTAGTATTGCATGAAACCATACCTCATTTCTATGCCTAGCTCAAAGTCTCACACATGAACCCATACTGAGAATTAATTCACTTTGGATTTTTTAAAAAAAGGAAGGCTAATCATAATGATTGCCAAAACTGGATATATATATATATTTTTTTAAAAAGGAGGATTTTTTTCCTCTCTGAAGTCAGAATTACATTATATTAATGTGTTAGGGTTGTTTTGCGGTTTTATCCGTACATGTTGACAATGATATTTCAAAAGCCACGTAATGTAATCTTTCTGAAAGATTTATGAACATTTCAGAATGTTTTACTGTACACATTCCTTCAGTACAGCAAGACATATTGTTCAAAACATAAAAACATTGCAATCATTTCACAAAATGTATTCTTGAAATATTAGAACCAACTTTTCAATATAATATGGTACCACTGTGAATGAAGTGTTATAAGGTTTCTTTTGATTCCAATTGGACTTCATTGTAATAATCATAAAAATATGACAGCACAGAGAATAAATATGATCCCTTCATAATTATTTTATTACAGAAGCAAAAAAAGGTGCAACTCTTTGAAACAGATATACTTTTTTCATAGTTGAAATGTTGCTCCCTTCTGTATTTGAAGTGTTCTATCTTGGTTTTTTTTATCAAACACACTAAACTTTCTAGTGTATGTTATCAAATTAGGTCTCATATTCCCATAATTATTTGTTATATGGAATACAGCATTCTTATTCTGTCCTCTATACTCAAAAAATCAGAATATCTTGGGCTATGTCTTTGAATGTTTACACATGATTTTATACACAGATTGCTCAGTGGTGGGATTCAAATATGTGAACAACCGGTTCTCTGTGTGGATGCCGCTTCTGAAAGTCCATTCTGGGCCCGGGCAACAAAAAATTAGCTACCGGTTCTACTGAACCGGTGCAAACTGGATGAATCCCACCACTGAGGTGGCTTTAAAAAAGTACTTGAGACCAGAATTTCCATTGCTAAGCGATGCAGTTGTGAAGTAGATGCTATGCTGCTTAACAATGGTAATTCTAGTAGTCCTCAGTTATTGTTGTTAAGTGAATCACCATGGATTGTTAAGCAAGGACCTCACGTAATTACAATTTTCAACTACCTGCTAACTTCCCTATTGACTTTGGTTATGGGAAGCTAGCAGAGAAGGTTGCAAATTGCAATCGTATGACCACAGGACACTATGATGCCTGGAAATCTGGGCTAATCACATGATTGCGAGGGTGCTGCCATGGCCAGAATTTTGAGGATTGATCGTAAGTACCACTCTTTCAGTGTGGTTGCAAATTCAAACTGAATGAGTGGTTGCTAAATGAGGACCCACATGTAGAAATATATTTAACAGGGCTGGAAAGTAATTTGCTATGTATAATAAATGAGAAAGATAGAATGCCAGCTTGGTAGGATATGGTGAATAGACTCAAAATGTTGCATACATTGGTAGTTTTTTTAAAAAAAAAACACCATAAGATTAATTATTAGTATGCAGAAATAGAAAACTATAAACCAAATAAAACAAACAACAAGACTCAGCTGTCAGACTTAACAATCCACAAATATCTTAAGGTGGTGCCTTGCACGTAAATCACTACTGAGTGAGAGGCCAGAGGGAAAACTAAAAACTCGTAGTAAGAACATTCTCCAGGGAAACTGATACAATTTTAGCTATTTTCCCCCTAGTGACTTATAGTATTTTCATCACTTAGCCATCATTGAACTGATATAAAGCCTGTCCTTGTGAATGTTATTTTGAGAGATAGAAATTGAAAGATTATAGAAGATACCAAAAGTCACTTATGCGAAATGACCATCCTGACAATCTTAAATTCCCATGTCATAAATACAGGTCACATACTTTGAAACTCAGAGCCAAATCTGATCCAACAAGCTAATATCTATAATTAGATGTAGTTTTCTTTTTATTGTTTGTTTTAAGGTGAAGGATTAGTGGGGGATGGACCAAGAGAAGGAACATTTAGACTGGATCTCTAGGAAGAATTACTTCTTCTTCCAAATACCATTTTTCCAATGAATGCCCTACCTTTTCTATCCACCCAGAGCAACTTTGTGGTGAGATGGACGGAAAATAAAAAAATAAATAAAATAAAATAAAATAAAATAAAATAAAATAAAATAAAATAAAATAAAATAAAATAAAATAAAATAAAATAAAATAATAAAATAAAATAAAATAAAATAAAATAAAATAATAAAATAAAATAAAATAAAATAAAATAAAATAATAAAATAAAAAATAATAAATAAATAAATAAATAAAATAAAATAAATGCTTTTACACCCAGGAAAATCATACCAATACATGTGAGATTCTCATTATAAAAACATACAGTAGTGATTTTTATAAGAAAATAATAGGGACAGCCTAGCTCCTCAACAACGACCAAGCTCATAATCAGATTCCTGTCTATCCCTTGCATCCTTTTAGAAAAATGTGTACATTTCTCACTGCCTAATTTCCTTTGGGTCCTGGCTATACAAATTAAATCTGGAGCCTACAGCTATTTTAAGAAATAAATCCATTATTAATTATTAGAAATTAATCTAACATTTGAATGTGTTTAACCCTACAATCTAGGAGGAAATGGAAACATAGAAAATGTAGCATAAAAATCAGATTTCCTTTTTAAAAAAACCATACATTACAGCATGGGTGCTAAAACAATGGGACCATATCAAAATAATACAAGAGGCTTCTTAAGATGGTTTCTATATCTGCCTACATTTTAACACTTCCATTCATTAGCTGATCTCTCACCTTCTGTATTAATTGGATGTGATGGTTTCTCCTGTAAAATCACAACTGCCTTCAGCCTAAAATGTAAACTATAATAGAACCCAGTAGACCACTACAAAGATATAAGCAGACATTTAGAAAAGAGAATTAGAAAATGCCTGATCCTTTCTTAATTTAGCACAGCCCTAGGGAAGCAATGTTATATGCTGACATACTCCATATATGTTATGTTGCTCTTTAGACCTACAATTCAATATAAAATAGCAGAAAATCAGCCATATTTCATGCAGAAATGATGCCTATGATACCAAATTCCATTTTCAAAGGAAAAAATGGATTTCATTATGATGTTGCCTCTTTGTTTTTTTTCATCAAGAAGGAAATGCTAAGTTATGATGAGTAGGTATATTTTTCATACTGCAGTTTTATTTTCTATATTTTTCCAACATTTTGCAAATTTAAACAATCTTTTTTATCCCATCAAACTCTTTTAAAATTAAAAATCACAGACCCAGTGGAGATCCAAAAAGAACATATTTTAATTCAACAAGAGGTTTCAATCCATCCTCATAATCAACTAAGTAGAATAAGGTCTAGGGCAAGGGTGACAAACTGCCGGCCTGCAGGCCAGTTGCATCATGTGGAGGCCGTGCCCACCCCAGCTCCGTCAATGCGAAAACAGTCGCACCCGTAGTCTAGACACACCCGTGGTCTAGGGCAGATGTCCCCAACCTTTTGGGCACCAGGGACCGGTTCCGTGTAAAAAAGTTTTTCCACAGACCAGAGAGTACATGGTTTTGTGTGCTGCCTACATCTCACGGATGGGGCTTTGCTTCTTCGTGTGGATCGGTTGCTGGCATGCCGCAGCCCGGTACCGGTCCACGGACCAGGGGTTGGGGACTCCTGATCTAGGATGTTGGGATTAGTTCCTGGGTTTTGTTATTGGCACATTGCAAGTTAATCAGAATTATACTAGTATGGCAAACCAAGGCGCAGATTACATTGTATGGAGCCTGAGTACATGCTTGTGCAAATCAGCATTATGTAATTTTGCATGCGTTAGACATATCTCAGTAGAATCTGGTTCTGTGTTTCTAATGTAATGTTATTTAATCACTAATAGAAAATTTGTTTAATTTGTTTATCAATTCATTTTTCTTAAATATTTACACCTACTTATTATCCTATAGATCTCAGGATCTGCTTTAATCCATAAATCACACAGGATAAAACACTCATATGAAATAAAAATAAATGATCGTTTAAAAGATTAAAATAGCAATAGCCATAATACAATAATAGACAATTTTAGAAGGACCAATGGCCAGACTATTCTGAATGCCTGAGTAAAACCAAGTATTTCCATGGTGCTAAAAACTAAGCAAATTTAATGTCACTTCTTCCTTCCATCAGCAACACAAGTGGTTTGCCCATGACAATGAAATAAATGACTCTGCCCATAAACCTAGATTCTCTTCCTTCTGCCCATAGCACTATCTAGGCCAGGGGTGTCCAACCTTGGCAACTTTAAAACTTGTGGACTGGCTGGCTGGGGAATTCTGGGAGTTGAAGTCCATTGGTCTTAAAGTTGCTGAAGTTGGACATCTCCAATCTAGGCCCACGTGTGTCACATCAATGATAAAATGAGGCAGCATCTTGGTAATCGTGGAGGCTGGGAAGTCCTAAACCTAGCATTGAAAAGGGTCCCATATGTACGTTAAATTTTCCAAAAGCACCATTCTGGAATTTTCTATTTCTGAGACCACTTCAGCTAGCCTGACTACAGAGAACAGCATTAAATATAAAGGTTGCTATACTATCAACATCTTTTTCCTGTCTCTTGGGCCTAATACCAGCTATGTACCTATGTGTAAAAGTATTTTCATAGCACCCGCAGAGTCTATTCAATGGATGTCATTGATCAAAATGTTCCCACAGAGGATCCAAACTGTTTTTGAGTTTTGTGCAGTTTGTGTGCATGTAAACAGCATAATAATTCCAAAAAGATTCTTGTGAAATGTGACACATACATATAACTTACCATCTGCCATCTCTGCACAGAGCTGCAAACCTAAATTATTTTGTGGGTCAATCACCCAGTGGTTACTGGTGACAGTGATATCAAACACAAGCCAGCCAATATCAGGAGCTTGAGCTCGTTTTGTATCTAATAGGAACAGGTCCGCATCCCTAGTATAGAAACAATGAGTAAATAAAAATGCATCATATTTATGTCATTGCAATTAACTTTGCCAGTAAAACATTGATTCTGGCTGTGGCACAGCAAGGTAGACAATCTACATGCACATAACTTCACATGTTGGAAATGAAAGGCAGTGATCCATAAACTAATTAAATTCTAGCGCTTCAAATTAATTTCTCCAAAATAATTTTCTGTTGGCATTAATAATCCCAGACATTTATAATTTTTATTTTTTTTATTTCTATTGGTTTGATATACTATGTGATTTCACCTCCCACAGTTCAATTCTATGAACATGTAAGTGTTGCAGAAGTAACAGAAATTCCAATAGTTGCATGCAAAGTATAGACAATAATGAGAAAACATGTAAAGATTAGGCTTTAGAATAGACTGATAGTATTTTGAAGTATTTTTTCACAATTTGTGCATGGAGAGGGAAAGCCATATATTACTTTGATTTTCTGAAGAATTCTGTGAAAACCAGACCAAAAATCCATCCATTCTAAATATTTTAAAAGGAAAAATATTTTGAAACTTGTTTCAGTGGCTTGAATATTTTAGATATGTAATTCACAGATCTTTCTGGAAAGCATGCCCAAGATTATGACTTTACCCACTTCTTCCTAATGGAATATTTGCATTAAAAATTACTCATGTTGAGGACCATGCATGTAGTAAATCTCATCTTAAAGTTCATTCATGGCTTCATATCCCAACTCAAACACAAGAGTCCTATATACTGCGGACAGATTAAGAAAGTAAATGTAGCTCTTGGTTCTCTGAAAATAAATACAGCTGAGCCATATAGTATACCCCTTGTTGCAGCTAAATTAAACTTGGCTTGCTTTGTTCATGGTTCAGGGCAGCAAGTATTTCTCAAAACTAGTCCTGTAAATTGTGCATGCAATCCTTGCATTTGCTCATCTATAATGATTAACTTAACTAATCGTTTACATGATGAAATTGGAAAATTGGATACCTGTGAATTTTCCTTCTGGCAACCTCACTGGACAGCAGGACAAGAGATGAGTTGTTCAACCTTCCAACCACTAGGAGAAAAAGACTCCAGGGAGAGGCTGAAAACAGACATGCCGGTATTAGGAACCACCGCTCTGTTCTCCATCCAAACCAATATCCTATTTTCTTTTTCCAGACTTGTGGGGTTGGGTGGATAGAGTGGCCAAGATAGTTTGCAGATGATAGAGGCTTTGATCAGGGCTGACCTGAATTTACACACTATGTAGATGTTTAGAAGAATAAATGTTCCATGTCAATTGGATCATTCCCCTATGGAGGAGGTAAGCTGAATCACGTGCTCTCTTCTACAATACTGTCTTTAACAGCACCCCCTATTTGATCAGCTGTCCAGACTAAACTTTGTAAAGATAAAGAGCTCTGCTAAGGAAGAACTGAGCAGGGGCTGAAGTTACTCATCAGCTATGAACCGCTGAAAGGACAGGCACACAAAAGGGAACCTCAGCACAATCTCCCTCAATCAGTAGATCTTGGAATCAATCAGATCCAGGCTGCGGCGTTAGATCTTCTATCTATATCCTTTCCTGTCATCTAATGTCCAGATATTTGTACCCTAGATCTAGTACAGTTAGTCCTCGACTTACAACCATTTGTTTAATGACCATTCAAAGTTATAACAGCACTGGAAAAAAGTGATTGATGACCAGTTTTCACACTTATGGCCATTGCAGCATCCCCAACAGTCACATGATCCAACTTTGCCCGCTTGGCAAGCAGTATGTATTTACGACGGCTGCGGCATCCTGGCATCCTTGGGACTGTCGTTTGCAACTTTCTTAGGGAGTTTCTGACAAGCAAAGACAATGGGGGAAGCAGATTCGCTTAACGGCTACACAATTTACTTAATAACTTCAGTGATTCGCTTAACAACCGTGGCAAAAAAAAAGTAGAATAGGGCATTTACTCACTTAACAACTGTCTTGCTTAGGAATGGAAGTGTTGGGCTCAATTGTGGTTGTAAGTAGAAGACTACCTGTAAGTCATCTGTGAATTTGATAGTAGCAATGATGCTTGTAAGGGGAACTTAACAGCTTTCCTGTGGGTGGTGTTTTACTATTTTTCAAACAATTTTACCCTACAGATTTAGATATTTCTGTTAGAGACAGGGGGCAAGAGAGAAGCAAGTTTCTAGCACCCTGAGCATAGGAATGAAATTCCAAGCCTCCTAATGAAAAAATAAAACATGCAGAAACTCTCTGAATTGGAGAAAACCCAACAAAGCACCTGAGATGGGAAAAAGGAACATCTCACTAGCAGCTACCTGGAATGAGCAAAAAGCAAAGATAGGATACCAACATGATTAAGAGGGGGAAAATAATTAAAGGTGAGTAATAGCTGAGAGTCAGATGTGTGAAAGGTCAGAATATAAGGTGATGTAACAACCCACAAACCACACTAAAAACTCTAAATGATCCTTCAAATTCTAAATAGAGCATCTATATCTATAGTAGATCTCCTCTGGCAACCATAAAAAGTACTTTGGGGCTTTGTTGATAGGAAGTGCTTAGCCAGGACAAGCCCTTTAAATAGCTACTGTGGTTATTATCTATTCTAGTTGTAAGTAAATAAAATGCCTACAAGTTGCTGCACTAAATTCTATCCTATTCAGAAGCCATTTTTTCCTTGAAAAATGAGCATCTTTATGATCTGATATTCTCTGCCACCATTTAATTTCAGACTTTTTTTTCTTGTTCTTCCATATAAAGGGGAAAAGCTCTCATCCAACAAGGACTAGATATGGCAGGACTAGATATAAAGCAAATAAAAGTACTTGCATATGTAAAGAGGGGATTTCTAACACTAGAATAGAATAGAATAGAATAGAATAGAATAGAATAGAATAGAATAGAATAGAATCTGGAAGGGACCTTGGAGGTCTTCTAGTCCAGCCCCCCACTCAAACAGGAGAACCTATACTATCTCAGACAAGTGACTGTCCAGTCTCTTCTTAAAAATCTCCAGTGATGGAGCGAGGCAAGCTGTTCCACTGGTTAATTGTCCTCACTGTTAGGAACTTTCTCCTTAATTCCAGGTTGCTTCTCTCTTTGATCAGTTTCCAACCATTGTTTCTTGTCCTGCCTTCTGGTGCTTTGGAGAATAATTTGACCCCCTCTTCTTTGTGGCAGCCTCTCAAATACTGGAATGGGCAAAGGCTATATTCAATTCATAGAAAAACAACACCAATAGCTAAATGAATAGGATGGACTTCTTTCTACCTAAGATCAGAGATCTTAAAGGAAAATTCACAGGTAAAACCATTTTTCATTCATCTTAAGGCATCTTTGATATTCAAGGTAAATATTTTTATGGCATGGACTCTTGGTGGAGAGTCAGAGCTGTGAGTTTCAGACTGAAACAATGTTCATACTGAAAATGGTCGACATCCATTAGAGATAGAATGGCCATTCTTATCTATATGAGCCTGAGCACTAAATCAGTGTTCTCTTTCTATACTTCATTTTATTTCTGTCTGCTCTTAACTGTTCTTTTTTTTTCTACCTAGATGGTTGAAGAATCAACATCGACAGCTGTTTGAAAACACCTATATACCATTGCTTCCATGCACCTACATAATAGTCTTCTCTAAAAATCTTCATCTGTTGCCTCCCAGACATTACATTCTGCAATGTAAAAATCTTTCATTTTTCCTGATAGAAATATATCAAGAGGAGCATGCACAAAATCCAACATACTAAATTAAAAGGTGAAGGATGCAATAATGGAAGACAAAACACAGTTTCCAGGCAAAGGAATACCACCCCCCAAAAAAAATTATCCAAGGAATATAGTAGCATGTGTTTTATCTCTTTAATTATTTTTCTAGACAGAGTTCATAGGGGATGGGGAGTGAGATCTGCAAAAGGACTGTGTCCTTTTAAATTATAATACAAATATTTTGTGGTTTCAGAATTTCAGAAGCATGCTTCTCTCTTTAACATTCCATTCCATTTATATGATAAGCAAATGCTGAGTATCTTTTGATCAGAGTGCACGGTTTGGGCTAACATTGACACCTGACATCCTTGTACAAGGACCAGAATCTGAGTGCCTGGGAAATGCTCTCAATCAAGGCCCAACTTGGGGGACTTTTTCCTACTTTCTGTCCACCCATTTTGGGTAGCTGTCCTCCAAGGGTTACAAAGAGCACAGCAGTAACATGGCAACACTAAAGTCAGTGCAACAAAATGTGTAAACCTTGCAGAGGCTTAATGCATGTATGTTCTTTTACTTAAAAAGACACAATGTCACCAAATCACAGCACTTAAAATCCAAACAAAATCGAAAATTTACCTTTGCTACTATAATCTGCAAGAATACCAGCAACAGCTGTGTAAAACAAGTCAGCTAGCTACCCTGAGTTATTTATTGAACAGTCAGCTCAAGCAAAACATTTCAAACCACCTTCAACTGGTTTTTTTTTTTTAACTTCCAAGCCACTTTTGTTGAATGGTTTGATTCCTTAACAGAAAGAAAACAATCCCTTGTTCCTAAATTGGAAGAATTAATGTGAAGTACAACTGGAAGAAAAAGTGACCTGTTTGGATATTCCTTGATGATCTGATAAATGCTAATCTTAATTGTTTCATTCTCAAATCGACTGTAACTCCGATCCTTGTAAATCCGAAATTCTGCTGCTGTCACTGCTTCTCCATGAGGGATCTGAGTCAAATCAAATCGGAATTCCTTGTAGTGCCGTCGTTGGTGAGAAAAATCCTTGTCTCTTTCCACTATGAAAATAAAATGAAATGAAAAGGTTAACAATCCACGTGCCAAGTTCATGCAGCACTCATTACAGGTTTTAATTTAAACTATGAGAGACATTCAACAAGCTAGAAGTCACAAGGTCAAAGGGGATAGAGCCTGCAACAACTCCGAAAGGAAATCATTCTGCAAAAAGAACAAAAAATAGACTATATATTTAAAAGTAATAAAGCTGTGGGCAAAAAAAGAATCTCCACATGTTAGAAAAAAAATTATGAAATTGGGTTGGTTCATCTTTCTATATGAGCAGGAATTACTAGCAGATGATCTTGGCATGGATGCTTGGACAGCATTTGAGGAAACGAAGCTGGCCAGGCCTTGGCTGAAGTCATAATATATTACATGGATACTTGTTCCATTCTCATGCGGTGGTATTCGTATTCCCAGCTACACTTGCTCTGCAAATGAAACCATATTGTAAACCTTGTTTGCATAGCTACTTCTATCTACAGCAGGATGCTCATTAGACAAAAATATTAGTCACAAACTCTCTGAATTGTTTTGAAGAAGTAATTCTTGCTGCATCTGTTGTTCATCATAATGGCAGGACTGGTGACTCATTTACAGGAGGAGTGGTTAACTTGAGGTCCCCAAACCATATGGGGCCTCTAAGCCTCTTTTCTGTAGCTCCCAGTGCTGACTACTGACCGCAATTGCTGGAAATTGGAAGCTTGGTTTCCGATCATTGTGAGGTACAAAATACATAAAAATAGTCATTTAGACCCCCCAAAAAAGGCTTAATATCATTTAAAAAAAAAAAAACATTCCACCCACTCTGCTCTGAATCCTGGCTCTACCCATTCTCTCGTCAAGAATTAAATCCTTGTTGCTAACACCCTGGGTATTAATGGATCTGGGATTGCGAATGCAACGCCTAATTAATCCATACACATAACACTTCACAAATGTCACTGCTTCCTATTAAGAGAGATACAAGGTCTTGGTGCAGCTTACTTAAATCTCTACATCCCCTGCAGAAGCAGGAAAGTAAACCAAGCACTTTTAGGTGGTGGAGGTTACTGTAAGCTGACAGAGAACAAAGCACACATGTTTACAGCTTCAAACCAATGAAATGATGGTATATTTTCACGAAATACTTGGGTTATCTGACAAGCAGAGGTCAGAGGTTCCAAGAGTTTTGTCTTGAAATTACTAAGTGCTCTTCAGCTGGCTGATAATTGAAAGCAGAGGCTAGAAATATCAAAGGAGGTAGGTGATAGATAAGTCAGAGATAAATGGAAAGACTCTAGTTCTTATACCCTCAAAGGGCAGAGGCTCCAGGGATTCTCTGTTGTGTTACTGGGAACAACAGACTGAGGCATCAGTCTTGGTACCTATTCCTATCTTTATCTTCTATCATTATCCAAGACCGGCTCTTCCCTGATCTCTTGGTTCTTCAGGCATCCTCCAAGGGTGCAGAAGAAAACCTGAACTTCCACAGAGGGTTAGAAAAAGGAATTCATCAGAATGAAAAAGTGGTATGTTTATTTCATTCAGTATGGATAGTTCCAAAAAGTATGAGCTCTGAGTATTATCTGTAACACTACAATAACCTGCAAACTAATAAGGGCACTAGAGCCCACCAGACTGAATCCCATTCTAGAACAGAATTATTTTCTTATTAATCCTCTGATCCTGAATGCCACAATCTCATTTATACTGATTGCAACTACTTGCAATGCAAATTAGTCACAGCACATAGAGATTTATTTCCTAACTCTCCCCAAGACACATGTTTTACATGTTAATTTGAATTACACTGAATTACCAGGATTAGGAGAAAAAATAAAAACCTGTCTTCATATACCTGCTTTGAATCCAACAATCTCTGAAGAGAACATGGATGAGGAAGCAGTGTTTGAATTGTCATGGAGTTTGCTGTTTAATCACATTTTTATGTTCCAAGTAAACACCCTGAATTATTTAGAAAAAAAAATAAGGGTGGGATAAAATAATCTAAGAATAAGTGCACGATCCATCAAAAGTAAACTCAAAATGCTTTTAAAGCAATTGGGAATTTTGTTAAGTACAATATAAACCAAAGGTCTCCATCTCAAATACCCGTGAACAATGGTATCAAAGTCTCCAGAGAGAAAATAGAGTAACCCAGAATGCCATCAAATATAAATTTATTTTTTTAAAAAAAAACTATTGCAAAACAATTGCAGGCAACATCCCAACCCCAACCTCAAAGTGGTCCCATACCTCCAGAGAGCTCCACTCATCAAATGTTTTTAATGCTGATAACAATATAACATATCTGCTGTTTCTGTTGGTCAAAACATCTCAGCCATCCTGACACAAGGCAGGGTCAGAGCTATCCTAGCCCCATCCATTGAGGTAGCCCCTTTTCTTCCAACTACCAAAGTGGGCAGACCACAACAGTGGTTCCAGTCACATTGGCACCCTGACACACAGTCACCTTCTGTCCTACTCTGCTTTGGTTCCAAATCATACCTTTCTCCTAGTCCAATGGAGGACCTAATGTGTCGAACTGAGATTGGCAAGCTATCGACCACCCTTCCTCTGTAAGAAGGTGTGCGAAGGTTGCCTACAGCACTCTGACCCTTTCTCTCCAAAGCACCACTGCAGGCTTTGGACAATGACTATGAGATTGGAGCTTAAGGCCTCCGATATAAATTCTTTAAAACTCTTGAGGTTGGCTTGATGTAGCTTTGTTCTTTGGCACAGTTGCAACTATCAAAATCCACATCTGGGTCAACCAGACAAAGTTGTAGTCCTCTATACTCTTGTAGCATGCCAGCAAGTGATTCTTCGCTCCACTACATGCATTCCTAACAATACTGGAAAAATATTCTTCCGGGGAGGGCAGCTGATCATTGACCAAAACTTTTATTATTTGAACAGACAAGTGCCAAACAGGCAGGGCAAGATCATAATTACATTACTGGAGGAACTGAAGCAGAACGTTTTGACCTAGTCTGTCTTCTTGTCTTGCTCCCTTGGTGTTTTAATGCTACCTGCAGCTGGACACAACCATTTCAGTGTGTTTACTCACAAAATATCAGCAGGAAATTACACTGCTCATGTCTGGCCGCATGCCACAGTTGTGCAATCTTGGGAGGCTCTAGTGGCTACGGTGATGGAAAAATAAGAAACTGAGTAAACCAAAACGCTTCCTATGTCTCCATCCCTAGTTAAGCTTTTGCTTGGAACACTCTTCAAAATAAACATATATAGAACTCGGCTGAATCCGTATTTTAAAATGTTTATTAGTTCGTTGCTAAAATGAAACTAAGAGGGCCTATTAGTAAAATCAACCTCCATAAGTTGTTTTACATTCAAGAAGTTAAAACCTTCCATAATATTTTTTAATGGATATTAAAAAATTTACCTGTTTGCTTTCCAAGATTACTGCTGAAAAATGTATTTTTTTACATCCATGTCTTTGAGAAATTGTGCCATTAAAGCATATACATTTTTTACTAGTCAGAATATATACTTCTCTGAAGAAGTTGACAGAGAATAGTTCCTACTGTTTTAAAATACCCCAAGACATGGTAGATAAATAGCTGCTAAACAAAATGACCCTTTGAACTCTCAGTTCATGTAACTTCATCGTATGCTTGTTCAGCTACTTAAAACCCAATCAACTGTGTGTATGCCCTGTGTTTCTTCTCTTAAATAATCCTTGACAGAGACTTATCTACACCCTGAGCATTATGAAGTCCTGTTTTTTTTACAAACTTCCTTATTCTTAGTATTTTCTGATAATGGCTTGTGCTGGTGCTGCCTGTATTTTAATTTACTTTTTATTGCATTTTATTTATTAATTAAATTTATATGCCACTCATCTCACTATCAAGCGATTCTGGGTAGATTTCTTTCTTTCTTTATTCATGCATTCAAAAGAGAAAAAAAAGCCTAAAGATGTTAGACCCCAACAAAAAAATATTAGGAAGAAACAAGAGGCTCTCTTGATCATTCTTTCATGAAAATGTGTATGTGTGTGTACAGTATAAAATAAAAAAACCATTTCACCCCACAAAGTTAAGTAATTCTGACAAACATATTTGTAAACATGTACTATTCATTTTATTTATAATCCTTTATATTTTCCAAATCCCACTAGTGTTGTGGATATCAAAACAAGCATTAATTTACAGGAACCTGTTTGTTAACTTTTGAAATAAAGTTTTATTCTTGCTACTAAACTAGCCCCTCTTCCATCAAAACATGTCCTGGCAGCATCTTTTTTCTGTCTTCATGACAGGGCCTCCAACTTGTCTCTAGACCATCAGCGACAATCTTGAGCTATACTTAGGTATACCAATAATAAAATTGTGTTTTTCTCCAAAAGCCAGCAGCTTCCCAAAGCAACCCCCAGATGTGTAAAATCTGTTAATGCTTTGCCACACATTACACCAGTGGCAGAGTCATGTGACCAGCAGTAGGTAGGATCAGAACTGTGCTTATTGGCCATTTCAAAATGATGCAGGGAACCAGCGTTTTTGACGAGAGCCAGTTTGGTGCAGTGATGAAGGTACTGGCCTAGAAACCAGGAGACTGTGTGTTCTTAGGCATGAAAGTCAGCTGGGTAACCCTGGGCCAGTCCCTCTTAGTCAGCCCAACCCACCTCACAGGGATGTTTACTTTGGGGAAAATAGGAAGAAGAGGGAGTATTAGGTATGTTCACTGCCTTGAGTTACTTATAAAATAATAAAGGTAGGATAAAAATCTAATAAACCCTCCAAATCCTGGTTTGTCTCCCTAGTGTCACTCTACTTCTGTGTTCCCAAAGCAAGGGTCAAGCAACCTTCTCTAGAGGCCATCCCATCACCGCCACTATTTTTTCTACCTTCTCCATCTCTTAGCTTGCTTTTTTGCCTCCTGTTGTTGTGAGTGCTCCATCCCTGGAGGTTTTCAAAAACAGACTAGACAACCATTTGTGCAGGATGGTATAAGGTCTCCTGCCTTGAGCAGGGGATTGGACTAGAAGACCTCT